CTCCCTTGTTTATTACGTACATCACCTCAGTGCAGGGTATTTACATTTATTCAAGTGTTGTGCAAATCATGGCTTCTAAAAAAACAGAAAAGTGATTTCAATTGAAACAAAGCAAGAAATCATCAGAAGGAGTGAAAGTTGACAAAAACTTCCTTGTCAAATGAGGAGAGGTTCAGGAGTTTACGAACACTCATTATCCAAACAGAGCTGAGGCTAACAGGATCAATGATCTCTGCAATGACACCCTTGCCCGTCATTTCCGACAGGTGTTGAAGAACAGAGAGAAACAGACCACCTTGGACGTGTTTTTCAAGAAGCCAGCCAAGAAACAAAGGATGGAACAAGAGGAGTTGACCTTGCAAGCTCTGGTAGCCTCTTCTGAATCTGACTCCAATTAAAAAACAATAAAAAGAGACCTGCTGCAATGTGTAAAAAGTCTGTATCTGTATGAATGTGTGAAGAGAGTGTTCCTCCACCTCCTCCTCACAACATCTGAATACCCAGCATAATTGGTGATTGCTCCATTTTCATTTTTTATAGTACAGTACGGTTATTTTATGCTGCAGAACGAATTATATGTTTTAACATGTATTTCTATGGGAAAATGCGTTTCGTATAATGGACTTTTCACTTAACAGACGTGCACCTGGAACGGATTAAGTAAATTATACGAGGCACCATTGTACTATATTGCCAAGAGGCGATTTTGGTGCTGTACAGTGCAACCCCTGCTTCATGCATGTGTACAAAATTGGAGATTTTGTAAACATGGAAATTAAGTGTCATATGTCACTCTAAAATTCATTCAAATTTAGCATTACAAATTCTTTTTTCCTCCATTTTATAATGGAGGAAAAAAGAATTTGTAATGCTTTGTATATAAAATTGGAATCAACAATGTAACCAATAGTATTATAATCAGGGAATACTTGATTAATATTTAGCTTTTTATAAAGCTAAATATTAATCAAGTATTCCCTGATTTAATATTAAGCTTTTAAGCTAAATATTAAGCCAGGGATGCACAACCTTTTCTGAAGAAAGGCCAAATTAGGATTAAGTTTACTGACTGGGGGCCGGACCTCCAAGTGATTAATGCGATGTCTGATGCAATTTGCGAGATTCTTTGTTGTATCGTCATGTGGTTAAGACTGATTGTTTGAAAACACTGTCTTCTCAGGACACATCTCACTTGCGATGATAAGACACTTTTTTATCATATCGCCATCTGTGAAAGGTTTCCCATTCTTGGCTATTAAAGCAGATATTTCTAGGCTGGCTTCAACAGCCGCATCCAATTCTCCAGATTGT